TATATATATATATATACGAACAATAACAATATATAACAAATATACATATTTAAACAAAATTTAAAAGTTATTTTCTGAGTATAATATTCTAGAAAAATTCTCAATAATCAATATCATTTTCGATATTTGAATGCTGATATCGCTTAATTTTATAAACATGGTACATAAAATATCTTTCATTGATTAAATTAATTATTACGTTTTTAAAAAGCATCGCACGTAGAAATACGTTTAATTTGTAAAGCATTTTATCATTTCCTATATTTCTACCGGCAAACTTTGTTTCAAATAATGTTTTAAAAGAAGCAGCTCAATTTCGAAAATCAATACTATGTATTCGCTCGAGTTGCTCTCTCATCAAAGTGTGTCTTACTCAGGTTCAAGTTATATCCTGGGAATACAGCCAATTTTAGAGAAAAAATGTATTCTTTCTCTTCCGTATTTACTTCGGTTGGTATTTATATATTTTGAACCATTTAACTCATTTTTACTAAAAATATTTTTGTTTATTCTTACAAAATGAACAGTTATACATAAAGATATTTCCACAGAAATCTAATCAACATTTATATTATGATTAATCAACATTTGCATGCCAAAATGAACTTGGTCATTAAAAAATCAAATACAAGCAGAAAAAAAATCTGGTAAATTGTATTTCTGGGAATGTATTCTTGGGAATACATCCAATTTTAGAGAAAAAAATTCTTTGTTCTCTTCCATACTTATTCCACTAGATATTTAATATTTTGAACCGTTTAACTCACTTTTGTGAAAGATATTTTTGTTTATTCTTACAACATGAAGTTATACATAAAGATACTTACACAAATCTCTCATCAACATTTATGCGCTGCTCACATCATTCACTTGCTAAAATGAAGTTGATTATTAAAGATTCTGATTGGTCTAAAGATTCTGCTGAAAAATGTTTTGGGTAAAATTACCGCATTGTATAGTAAAGACATTTCTGGTAAAGAAAAATTAAATAAAAACCATAAGAAAATAACATAATTTTAGTAATTAAACGAAAATATGCAGTATTTAAACTATATACTTTATATTTCTTTCCATTCATATGGCAATGGCTTACCGGAAATTTTTATTGTCGAAATTATAGTTCTTATTACCACACATTTAGTAACTATTATATAAAACTGAAATGTAAAGTTAACCAAATAAATGAGTTTATTTCTATGCTCCCAGGTGTCATGATTAAATTATCAAATTTTATGCATAATATAAAGCAATATTTTAATGATAATTTTGCCAAAATCATAATCAATGCGCTTCTGTAAAGATAATTATGCTTCTTGGTATTCTAATAGAGCCAGAAGCATGGTAAATTTTACAACATTCTGGTCGTTTTGCCCATACGTTTTTTCTCAGAATACTTGTTTAAGTTTTAAACCTAATTTGTTTTTGTTTTTTTATAAAATGAAATGGAATTTTAAGATGCTTTAGAAATTATAATAAAAAACTATTTAATGTGAAAAATAATAATATAATTTTTGCATTTAAAAGATACTATTACATCTAGAATATCTTAAACTCCATAACACTTAAAAAAATTATCCCCTCTGTAGAGAATCAAAAATGCGGTGGCATGTACATTTCATCCGCAGAGATGTTTCCCGGACCGTCGCCAATAGCTAATTTGGCAGCTCTAGTGCAACATAAATAAAGTACCTACCTTAAAAAATAATTTAAAGATTATTTAAAAAATGTTACAGAGATTTTCTTTTTTATACATATAGTTAAGCATTTGATGGAGTATATTTTCTAAATAATATAGCCCTAATTAATTAAAGTTTTCTATTATTTTATAATTGATCCAAACGCAAGCCTATATATATCTCGGCACATGAAAAAAAACTTGACAGATGAAAGTTACTTTCAAAAATAACAGTTCTCATTTTTGCCATAAATAGAAATTTCGCTACAGAAATAAATTTTTATTTTTGAATGTCAAAATTTTTTTTTAAATGTAAGCCTTTTAATAAGTGTAAATCGAATAATTTTTTGCGGAACGCTACATTTTTAATTTTATTTTATATTTAATTTATATTTCATATCTAGTTTTTATTTCATATATTTTATACACCTCTTATACTTTATCTGTTATATATTTTATTTATATTTTGCATTTTATTTCTTTTCTATTTTATTTGTATAAAAATGTACTTAAAATTATTTGTTTTTGAAAGCATTTGTAAGGAATAATTAATAATATGTTGTTTATGTAATTTGCTGTTATTATTATTTACAAAATAACAATAACTTAAAATGCGTTATGCGTTTGTAAATTAATTCCGATCACCAAATACTATTTTTATACAAAATGTAATTCTATGAAATCTTTTGTGTATTTATGTATTTTTTTTTTTTAAAAAAAAACTATTTTTATTTTTTTGTGTACCGTGCATTAATTTATGACTTTAACCAGATATTTCCAACATTAAAGAAGATTTAAAGAAATAGTAGTAATAAATTGCTGCAACAAAAACTCTGAAAGTACATAAGATACTTAGATTAAAGAACTTAAGCTACTTGATTAGATATTAAATCGCCATACGCTGTTTTAATTTACTAATGATTCAAGGTGTGGTAGAAAATAAAACTAGCATAAAAACCCTAAGGACGTTAAAAATAACATATCAAAATATAAAAGGACACAATTCTAAATACTGTTTAAACCACCCTTTCTACTCATAAAAGAAGATTAAAGAACGGATTAGTTTTTATTGGCAAAATCTTTACTTTAATATTGAGCTTAGGGGAAAATGGTGATGTGTATTCTAGAACAAAATTTTCTCTAAAATAATCTTATCGATTTCGATTGTCACACTTTTATATTTATAGCCGTAGCTAGGGCAATTTATTTAATAAAGTATACTATGTACCTGATTGCTCACCTTTGTCAGAAAGCTTAAAAGGAAATCTAAGTATTATATCCTTTTTAAAGGGTAACTAAGGTAAACTTTTAAGGAAAATGATCGTATACAAGCGTATAAAATAGGCTTTTTAAATGGTGACTAAGTATTGTAGATTCGTATAATATCAATTGAACAGAGTAACTACTAAACTACTATCAGACCCAGAGAGAATTTTATGCTGGAAACAATTGCAGATTTATATAAATAGCTTTGAGAAAATAATTAGGGGCATAGATGAAAAATTAATTCAAATATTCATTGTCTTGAGATTTTTACGTAATTTATTTTCAAATAACTGCAAAATGTAAAGTAAATTATTATAAGATTGCTCGATTTATAGAAATGGAAATTAGTTGATATAATTAATCTCAAAGTTATTAACAATGGAATATTTTCATGAAAAAAAAACTAAATATTGTCTTAAAATTAATGTTTCAATATGTTCAAACTAAAATACTCCTCATTTTTTAGAATTTCTATATTCTCACTTGCTATTTTTATATTAATGAAAATACTGATATCAAAATCCACTATTTTTTGCTATTACTATTATCTACTATTTTAAAATACACCATTTTATTAATTGTATGAATATAATAAGAAGCTCTATTAATCTTGCTATATTAATCTTGCTATATTAATCTTGCTATATTAATCTTGCTATATTATCTAGCTAAGTAATAAATAAATCTAATCTTATATCTAGGAAGTCAAGGAAAATTGGTATTAATTTTAAACAGATCTTCAAGAAAAAATTTTAAACAGATCTTCAAGAAGAATTTATAAAATTGTTTAAATGGTGGTAATAAAGTGGACAACAAGCACACTAAGAAACTTTTTCCGATATTGCAATTTTTCCCCACTTCCGATATTGCTTCTAACAATTTGATGCAGGTTTAATTACTAGCAGTTTCATAATCACTGAAAAGTAAGTATGGTCAAAAACACCTGAATATGGTAAAATTTACATCGTTTCTGGCTCTATGGAAACACCTATAAGATCGATTTTTACCGAAGTATTTTGCAAGTTATTTTGGTAAAATTAAGAAAAAATAGTTTTATAATATGCAATAATATTTAATAAATGAGATAAAATTTGGTAATTCTATCATGATATTTTGCAGCATGGAATAAAAATCATTTACTTAGTTAAATTTACTTTTCAGTTCAGGTCAATCGTTTTTTATAAAATGTGCAGTAAAAAGAAGTATAATTTTCAAAACCAGAATTTCTAGTCAACCTTTACCATATGAACAGTAAAATTACCAAAAGAGTAGGTTAAACATCGCATGTTGACATTACATCTTGACATGTAAACATCACAAAAGTGAGGTATTTTTTTAAATAGAAATGTCATTACCATTCTGTTTGGTAATTGTACCAGAATTTTTTCTTCGTGCAATGGTGAACAACGAAAGTATTTGATTCATGATGGTCAAATGATAAATTAAAGGGCAATTAAAAAATTTTATTGTACATATAGCTTCAAGTCTATAAAAACACTATTCGCAGAAATAATGCACGAAAAATAGTAAAAAATCCCCTACTGACTCATCAAGCAGTATGACTAAACTATGAGCTTTGGTAAAAACTGTTTATATATATATATATGTATATATTATATATATATAAATATNTATAGGTGCCTACCTATATATATATATATATATATATTGCTAACTGCTCTTGCGAATACTTTTCAACTGCTTTAGATTGTTTAGATTCGTAATCAAAACTTGATTCGATATTTTTTTTAAACTTTTTTCAACAATTTACTTGACGTTCAGGTTCGTAAATGAAGTGTGTATTTTTCTATTTTTCAGAAAGCTAAAACAAGGAGTGAAGTGTATAGAGGATCATAGTTTTCGATGCTTTTCTGTTCGTCAAAAAAGAGTATTTAAATCAGTAGTTTCTGAATCAAAACACGTTATAGATGATATATGTGTACCAGGAAAACTTCAAGAAGGTATTTACTTGTATTTTTATATCTTCCTTAACATTAAAAGGGTCTAGGTCACAAAATACTTAATCTTTAACACTTTTATCATTCAATATAAAATTTTAGACACTTTTACCTTTTAAGAGAATACTGCATTAATACTGAAATAATGCTTCTATAATTTTACCTCAATAAAAAAGTGAGAGTTTTTGTTTTTACTCTATTGAAATTGAAGTGATGCTAAATTAATCACTTTTTCTAAAATAAAGGTATATGTTAATAAATATATTAACAGAAAAATTTAAATAGTTGTTTTTAATATATTTCATATAATATGCATATTCTTGAATTTTTTTAAAAAAAAATAGATTTCAATCTATACATTTAAGGGAAAAATATGTAGTTTTAAATTTAGAATTTTTCAGATATTTTTTTTAATAAATAATTGCAAAATCTGTTAAAAAAAATTAAATGATGGATATTTATATTCGACATAACTGAAAAGTTATCAATTTTGGAGCCAAATGTTTCCGATTAGTATTAAAAGTTATAAACATGATTTGCTTAGAATTTTTCAAATCAATTAATTTTTACAAAATCTGATAGACGTATAGTACATTTTTATTCTTTTTTTGAATTTCGTAAACAATAAAACAGCTCAAAAACTCAAAATTATATTCGCCCTTCTTTTTTTAAAAAAAAAGCTCAAAAAAGTGTCCTGGACCCCCTTAAAAATTAAATCAGCTGTAAAATATTTTGTTGGACGCATATTTCTAGTCACTGATATACACCAAGAAGGTTTGAAAAAGTAAGTATTTGTGTATCTTATCTTACATTAAAATACCTTACAGTGGCTTCCAAGATTCTCCGGTTAGTATAACTTTTATCATTTCTTTTGGATTTTAGCTGTTTATAATAATGCATAAATAGTTCAAAAAATGCATATCAAAACTGTTTGTATTGAAACGTGTGGTTTTTTAATAGACAAACAGTTTTAATTAAAAAAAAATCTGTAATAAATTTAAAGAAACAATATCTGACTGAAAACTTTTGTTTATCTGTTATCTGGATACACATTGGAGTACGAAAATCTCCAGTAAGGATATCTTTATAACATTTTTTTCAGTTTTTGGCTGTTTAAACGTGTGGAAAGCAACCAATTTTTATTTTATTTGTTATTCTAACCAAATTCAAATAATGTCACATTACTATCGATTTATAATTACATGTTAAAACTGTATCTAAAATAGCATAAGATCAAAAATAGACTACTATATTTTCGTGTTCAAAAGTATCCGGCCATATTATTATTTTAATTTAGTTGGGTTTTTTTCAAATAAATATGAGTTAACTGAAAAATGGTATAATAGTGTTAATACTTTGTAGCAGTGACCATTGCAACAATTGCATAAGCACAAGCGATGTGGCATGAACTCAAGAAGGGTATTAAGGGTATCAGGTTGAAGAGTATCAAGAAGGGGGCAGCTAAAGTTTAATCCCATTCGAGTTACTAAGATTGGTATATTAGTGGAGATTGACTTTGCTACTGTGAAGTGTCAGTGCTACGTGTAAACAATTCCTTTCCGAAGCTTTGAGTCTTGTTTAGGCTTGTTGACTTGCTAAAATGATATCATTTGATCTGAGTACGCCTGTTGATTGTAGTGTAAAATACACCTATACAAGAGGCTATCTATAATACAATAACAAATCCTTATAGCTGTAATATAATTACAAAAAAATTTAATTTCGCATTAATGGTCAGAGTTCTGGATCCGAATGACAGGTTTGCTAGTGTTTATGAACTTACTGATAAATCAGAAATAATAATTGTATCTATATTTGATTATAATAATAAATTAAATAAAAATTATTCATCACTCTTTTAAAGAAATTAAATCAGAAAAAAAATATTGAACGAAGTCTTTGGCATTCTTTTGTCGATGACTGGACAATTACAGAGACCTGAAAAGCGTGGACGAAATGTTTTTTCTTAAATCTTTCTAAGTATAAAATAATTACATTATAATTTTAGCACTTTGATTCAATTTAAATTTTTGTGAAGGAAAAGCTTCAAAAAATACATTTTTATGCTCGTTATGATACAAAAGCATTTATGATGATTTTTTAATATTTTTTTCAGGGTGTAGTTATTTTGAAAAATATATATACACCAGAGATGACACCAGAGAAAAAAAACAGGTACAACGGTTTTAAAGAGACAATCGAATCTAGTGCGTGGACAAGTAATTCAAACAACATCACATCTTCATATTGCATTATTTGACTGATTAGCGTCACATGGGATAAATACCTTGACAACTGAAAAAATACTTTTAACTTTTATTAAATAACGTGTGTGAAAACTTGTACCTAATGATTTATTAACTTACTTAAAAGATATGATAACGAGGAAAAAAAAAGCTAATTTAAATATTCTAAGAAGAACTAAGCTTTCAAATAAAAGCATTACAAGCGTCAATAAATCTGCAATGTAACAGTCATAATAGAACATTTCATCCACATTCATAATAAAACATTTTCTCCACACAGAACTAGATTTATCCATAAATTATTCTTAATATAAATTTTTTTAAATTTTTAAAAATATCATTTTGTTTATTTTACTAACAATAGTTGAAAAAAAAAGCTCAGCCTAACCTAAGATGAAGGTTTTAACGTTATAAAATTATAACATTTTTTGTGAAAAGTAAATAAGTTATAGGCATTTAAAACGTTTAGCGTGGAAATCGAGTATACTCCTAAAGAGAAAATATAATTTATTTGTTTTTTAAACATTTTACACTGTGAACAATAAAAAATAAAATTAAATAATTGAAATAAAAAATATTATTCTATTTTTCATAAAAAATACATTCCTTTTATTGCCAGATATACCTATACAGCGTAGTTTATAATTCATAAGAAATAGTAAGATAAAGATGTTAATTCAAACGCCTCTTTTTTAACTACAGGCAAGTAATTTGAGTTGTTCCTTAAAGTTTCAATTTCGTAAAACTAATTTAGTTTTTTTGTGAAACTTAGTATAAGAGATATTTTGCATATTTATAGCTGAGTTAAATATTTTTTTTCCATGAAAATGAAATATATATTTACGTCCACATTTTTTTCCTTAACTAATGTCAAAATGCTACTTAGCTGTTCAAATATAATAAATTTATATTTTTTTTATTAATTCTTCACACTTAGTTTCGAAATCAAAGAAATTATAAACTGTTTTAAATCGAATAGTTTACAATGTTTGATAAGAATAAAACATGGAAAAAGGGAGTGGAAAGCTGCTTTGAAAAAGAAAGTCTCAAATTATGTAGTCAGTATAACCAAGCTCTTATCATAAAATTGTATCTAAAATAAACCAAATTAGTTTGTACTGTTATTGTGCACAATTTTCACTGTCTCTCATGTTAAAAATAAATTTTAATTCCGTACCTTTATATACAGTTTGGATTCGAATTATACGCTGTATTTTATCCTTTGGTTCGAAATCATAAGCTTGCATAATTAAAAACTACGCTACTGATGTTAAAAATCAATTATTTATTTCATTTAAATTTAAGAAAATGAAATTGTTTTATCTGTTAAATTAATTTATTTAGTTTTTTAATTCATTCTTCCCAAAAGACATTTGATTTTACGAAAATAGTTTTTTCCTTCCTATAAAATAACTTGAATTAATTAAACTATTCTTTTGTCTGTCAAGTAAATGAAACCAAAGTTTCTGAAATTTAAGGTATTTATTTCGTTCCTTTCAACTCCGTCTAGCGTGTTTTTATCTTCTTAATTATCTTTTTACCTGGGTTTCAGTCTTCCAAGATTCAATTAATTTAACCTATTACGTTATTCGTCCTTTTATTCTAATTTAATTGGTGAGTTTTTATGGCAAATGTACAAAAAAATTCTCATTTGAAGTCTTTGATTCCGCCGAGATAAAGGAGCGTTCGAATCAACTCTCAGAAGAAAGATTTTATTTATTTTTTGTTTAAAGCACTTTTGAGATTTCATTTATTCGAATGAAGCGAAACTGTGAAAACTTTTCCTTTCTTCGAAGAAATTTTTTTCTGTAATTCTAAAAGATTCAAAAGTCGCTTTCATAAGAGAAATAAATCGAAAAATATAAGTTCAAAATAAAATCTCGAATTTCTTTGCAACTTTTACCCCCTGAATTGTTGTCACGTCGAGGGGTTAGAAAAGACCGCCATCGCGATGCATAATAATTGTGCGAATGATGTACAAGTCTATGCTTGTGCTGGACACTTCGTCCCGGGCTACACAAAAGGGAATTGAGTTTAATGCACAGTATTTTAGGAATCTTGCACAGAATAATAATAAGATGGTGCACTATATGCTACGACTCCAACGTTACTTTGAATAAATTTTTTCATACCATATTCTAGTTAAAGGTAAACAAAGTTTATGAATATATTTCAGAAGACGTTCTCCTGATTGTGGTTGATAAGTTAGAACTATGAAAATAAAAAGCGTTTTTTTTTTCGTATTTTAGAAATGGAAAGAATAATACAGTGTATTTTAGAAAATACGCGGAAAATTTAGAGGTCCGTAAAATATACTGCCGCGCCGTGACATTTTTCTCTTTTATTTTACCGCTGTGTGTATTTCAGGATAGGAAATTCCGTAGTTGCAAAGATTTTACGACCTTAGTAAGGTGGGTGCAAATGGTAATTGTTTCTGTTCTCAAATACAGCAAGAATCTTCTTTTTTTGTTTTTTAACGTACATATTTTTCTTTTGTTTTCAATTAGCGGTAAATCCATTACTAACATTTTAAGAGGCCCTTGAGATAAGTTAGGAATAAATGAAGATAATCTCAAAAAATGTTATTAACAAACATAGCGTTTTATTGAAACTATCTGCTAGTGGCAGGTTGTTTTGAAGCTGATTGCAAATCATAACTTTATTTCTTTTCATAAAATATGCAGAGATAGGACAACGAAGTTAATTTTGAACGTGCCGTAATTAATATTTTTTTTGTCATATTAAAAATTCAGAAAT